CGTGCAGGGCTAGTCCTTTTTCAGACCAGCCTTTCCCAAGGCGAGCAGCTTGTGTATTGGGAGGACACGGCGGACATTGGGTTCCTGTGGCCTGCCTGTGAGGAGAGGGCACCGGCTGCGGCGTCCCCACCCTGTCCTGCCCACCCGCCTGGGCGCTGCGGGAGGGGACGCCCCCCGCCCCCCGGGCTGAGTGCTCACATGGCCCTGGCAGAGGCTCTGCAGTGTGCGTGGCGAGGGAGGAGTCAGACAAGGACCTTCTTGGGAGCACTACTCCTGCCGATCTCGAGGACGTGGCTGCTTTAAAAGCTTCCAGTTGCTCTCAGAGAGCAGGGGGACAGAACATCAGCAGGCGTCTTTCTTTTTAAAGCAGCTGCTTTGGGCTTAAGTGCACGTGCAGGGGCATCTTGCTTCCCGGTAACGTGTGTGTGGTGTGCACAGGTAGTACTGCACGGACCCTTTAACCCCTACGAGCTGAAGTGCCACAGTTTGACCAGGATATCCAAGTTCAGGTACGGTTCCCTCGTCCCCGTGGGCGGTCACTCTGCTCCCAGAAATGGCTCCCTGTACCCCAACGTGTGAGCGCCTGTTACCTTTTCTAACTCGCCTCCCTCCCTCCCTCTCTCCCTCCCTCCCTCCCTCCCTCCCTCCCTCCCTCCGATCTGACAGCCGTTCTGTGCAAGATGTTTTGTTTTTTAATATTTTTTTTATTAAATTATTATCTGTGTATATATTTTAACATTGCCCCCCCCCATACTGTGCAAGATGTTTTTGAGTATTTCCCATCCAAGACTTGTTTTTTCCTGTCCTCACTATCATTGTGGTCATTCGGCACATTCAGACTGCCCAGGTTCTGAGGACAGCGCAGCGTGGGTGGTCAGTAGTGAACAGTGCAGTCGGTGACCTCCCACAATGGTGGGTCCGTGTGGGGTGCGCAGGAGACGAGGCCTGGGGGCCACGGCCCTGAGAAAGCACCGAGGCCCCACAGGGAGGCTGTCAGAGACCTTGAGGCTCAGGGTGCGGCGGCCACGGGGTGTGGGGAGAGGGGACCAGGAGGGAGCGCGGGCGCAGGTGGGCCTCCCCGGAGAGTCCCTCCGCGGAGGGGTCGGTGGGAGCAGAGGGTTGCGGCTGGTGCAGTCGCGGTGCCGGGGGCAGCCCTCCTGCGTGCGTTTTCCTGGGTCACTGGCCGCAGGGGAGCTGCCCCTCAGGCCCTGGGCCGGCAGCACGGGGCCCGGTCTTGTTAGAAGTGAGACTCCCGCCCAGGCCTGCTGGCTGAGCACGTCGGCCCCACGGCGGCCAGGGGACCACGGCCGGCGCTCCGGTGTGCCCTGGGTTTCGGGTGGAGGGGTCCCGGGGGCGAGCTCACACCCGGGGGGCGTGGGGGCTGCACGGCGTCCATGCCGGGCCCAGAGCCCCCACTTTCTGCTCTCCGTGGGCGTGGGGTAGTGTCTGCAGCTGATGTGGGAGTTCTCTGCCCCTCCCTCCCTGGGTGCCTGCCTGGCGGAGGTGGGAGGGAGAGGGCATTGGGCATCCACACGCCCAGGCGGGACCACGGCTGTGCCGTCCTCCCAGGCGCGTTTGGATCGAGAAGGAGAGCATCAACTCTGTGGCCATCAGCGACGCCCCCGAGGACCTGCACCAGCGGGTGCTGGTGGCCGCCTCGCTCTCCGTCAACGCCACGGGTGAGTGCGGCGGGGCCCTCCGGCTCCTCCCCCCGCTCCGGTCCCCCCCCCTCTCCGCTCCTCTCCCCTCTAGCCCTCCAGCAGGCCCTGAGCGGTGGGCGGAGCCGGTCTGAGAGGGGAGCCTCGGCCTCTCCTGCCCCAGAGCAGCTGCCCCTCATCCTCACCGCCTGCGCCGCGAAGAGGAGCCGGCCAAGCCCGGCCCTGCAGGCCCCCGCTGGCCCGAGCAGAGGTCCCGCCACGGCTGCGGCTGAGCCCTGGGACCAGGCGTCGGTCTGCAGGACTGAGGGGCCGGCCACGGGGCCCATGGCTGCGGGTGTGCCTGTGGGGCCAGGGCGGCGGTGGGGCTTGTGCACAGGGGCCCGCACACCTGTCCGCAGGTTCCACCATGCTGCTGAGGGAGACGTCCCTGCTGCCGCACATCCCCGGGCTGCCTGCCCTGCTCGGCATGCTGTTCGCCCCGGTGATGGAGCTCAGGTACCGCCGGCCCCGGGAGGACCACCGGGTGGCCCCAGGGAGGACCACCGGCCACGACGCACCTGCTGCAGGCCGGTGCCCTGTGCCGGCGGGCACCTTGGCTGAGGGCAGCTGAGGCTCAGGCAGGTCCCCGCAGCCTCCCCAGGAGTGCAAATGCCACAGGCAGAGGAGACAGGTGGAGCTGGCTCGTGGCTCTGACGCTGTGAAGGCTGCGCTGGGTGCGTGGCTTGTGAGCGTGGCTTGTGAGCGTGGCTCGATGTCTAGCAGCTAGTTGTCAGCAAGAGCCCAGGCAGTGCCGCTCAGGTGCCCCTTGTCCAGCCTCACCGAAGAGGCGCGGGGGGGGGGGGGGGGGCGCGGGGGCGGCGGCAGCAGTGGGCGCAGACACGGCGCCTCGTCTGCTCACGGGGAGACGTGGGGCTCTAGGCGTGGTCGGCCACCATGTCACTGATGACTGTGCACCCCCGCTTGTGGCGTGGACCCCGGGGACAGCTCCGTCCTCGTGGAAGCAGCGCCAGCCCCGCTTCTCGCCGCCTAGGGTGGACCCGGACGGGAAGAGCTACACCGGAGCCCTGTGCGGCCTGGGCTGGAGCCCGGCCACCGGGGCGCCCATCCTGCCGGAGCACGACATGGAGCTGGCCTTCGACGTGCGCTTCAGTGTGGAGGACGTGGTGGAGGTGAGCTGCTCCTGCGTGCCCCGCTGCCCCCGCCCCCCGTCCCCCGTCTCGTCCCTCTCCCCTCCCGCCCGGCGGGCGGCGGTCCGGCTCCTGTGCTGCCTGGGCGCCGGCAGCGCGGCGGCCGCTCAGGCTGTGGGGACGCGGAGGCAGAGGCAGCCAGGCCCGCACGCTGTGGGCTCCCGCAGGGCCCCCGGCCGCTCCTCACAGGCTCCCGCAGCCATCCACGGAGAGCGTGTGCTCAGACACGGGCTCCAGGCTCAGGGAGGGTCTTGTGCTCAAGAACCTTTGTTGCTGATTTTTGCTTCTTTTTTGTTAATTTCTTAAGTGACAGCAGTGGCAGTGGAAGGGGCTGTGTCTTAATTTGCTGGGAGAGGAGGGTGTGTGTGTGTGAGGCTCTGTGCCGTGCTGAGCGGGAGCCGCAGGGAGCCGCTGCCCCAGGGCCACCGGGCACTCTGCTCCTCCCTCTGCAGATCAACATCCTGCGGGCCACCATCAACAAGCTGGTGTGCGACGGGCCCAACGGGGCCAGGCACCTGGGCCCCGAGCGGGTGGCGCAGCTGCAGGACAGCGTCCGCCAGAAGCTGCTGGGGTGAGTGCGCTTCCTCCGCAGCCCAGCCTCTGGCCCTCCAGGAGTCCGGGCGGGGTAGGCTGGGCGGCGGTGACAGACTCTGGGCTGAGGCGGCATCTAGAGGCTCAGCGGGAGCAGCCGCCTGTGACTGTCGTAGGCCCTGGGCAGGAGCTGGGCACCCTCACGTTGGGTGACCTGAGAAAAGTGGAGCCGAGGGACCCTTTCCAGGTGCAGAGGCAGTGGGTCCCTGGGGGCAGGGCCTGCAGGCTGAGCTCGGCCTGTGAGCCTCCCCCAGGAAGGTCAGGGACAAGCCTCCTGACCCCCCTCTCCTTGCTGCCTGGACCCCCAAGGCCAAACCCAGCCAGACCGGGGCTGGTGGCAGGGCCCTCCGCCAGACAGCACCCTGAGCTGTGCGAGCAGGTGGGCGGTGTCCTAGCTGTGGGCACTGACTGGCGAGCGGAGCTGGGAGCTGCCGGGAGAGAGGCTGGTTTGGTTCACTCTCCCCCCCACCCCCCGCTCCTCAGGAAAACACACACATGTCGCAGGTAAGGTAGCCTGTGAGGTGTGGCCCAGAGAGGGTCGTGCTGTGGGGCGTCCCGCTGGTCACCATGCTCGAGAGGCGTGAGTGCAGGGCCACGCAGGCCTGACCCCAGCCGCCTGCCCGGTGGGGCGCGTGGGGCCTGCGTGGCCAGTCGCACCCTGAGCCTGCTCTGTGTGCGAGGTCACAGCGAATTTGAGGGCAGGTGCAGGGTTGGCTCTTCAGGAAAGCGCAGTGGATGACTGATTCTCTTTCCCAACTTCTAGTTTATTCTGTCAGCTGAAGCCGAGAGCGAGGACGGCCCCCAAGTGGCCTGAGAAGCCGTACGAGTGGAACCAGGTGAGGGGCAGCGGCCCAAGAGCAGGCGGCTGGTTATCGAGGTCGCACAGACCTCTCCTCCCCCAGACACACACACACACACACACACACACACACACACACACCCGTTTCTGGACCAGACACCGGCCTGGCCTGCCTGGGGCTGTGGGTGGAGCAGAAGGCCTGAGTGTCCCTGTCCTGGCTCCCGCTGTCACAGCACCTCCAGGGCACCTCCCGGGCGGGCCAGCCAGCAGCCATTCGCTCACAGTCTCAGAGGCTGGAGGCTGGGAAGGGGCCCGAGGTGCAGACCCTCCAGCTCTGGGGTTCCACCTGCACCCCCGCATCCAACCCTGGTCACCTCCCGGCCTTATCGCATTGGGTGTGAGCCTCAGCAGGGAACCTGGGCCCAGCTCAGCCTTAGCATCAAAGCCTCAGCGGGGCCCTCCGCCCCTGGGCCTCTCCTGGGAAGGGTGGAGAACAGGGTGCAATGTGGGGTCCCGGAGAAGAGCCCAGGAGGGGTCAGCTTTAACCCAGAGAGGGGTGTCTGGTGCAGGCCCCTCCCCAGGGCCACGTGCCCTCACTCCGTGTGCCCGTGACCGGCTTTGTCGCCAGAGCCTCAGGGCCGTCCCAGCCCGCTCTGCAGGGGCGGGCTCTGCGGGCCCCGGGGTGGGGCCCGGCCATGCGCCGGTTCCCGGGGTGAAGCTCGGAGCAGAACTTCCCTGTGAGGCTGGTCAGCGCTTTAGGAAAGGTGACTTCCTGGCAGGGAGAGACCGTGGCCGGCCGCGAAGGTGGCTTTCCCGGGGCGAGGCTTATCCGTGGCACCCCGGATGTGCTGACCCCTGCGATTTCCCAAATGTGGGAAACTCGACTGCATGGTTGGTGGGGGGGGACTGCGTTCACGCTCTCCCCTGAAATACAAAACAAAGAACGTGCTGCTTCGTACGCTTCCAGCGAAGTCACGCACGCCACGCCCACACAGGCGCGGGGGAGCCGGGGGCGGCTCCGGGCCGTTCCGTGGATTGAAGGCAGGTCACTCAGCGGGGCTGGACTGGGCGAGGTGACCTGGGAACGCGCTTCTGCTGCCTCCCGCCTGTGCGTGTGCCTGTGCGTGTGCGTGTGCCTGTGCCTGTGCGTGCGTCTCCCTTCACGCGGCTCTCCTCTGGGCCCGTCCACAGCTGACGGGTGCTTTTGTGCCACAGGTGGACCCGAAGCTGGTCATGGAGCAGGCTGAGCGGGAGGGCGGCCGGGGCAAGAGCCCCTTCCTGTACCAGCTGCACCGGCTGATCGTGCTCAGCTCCTAGGCGCTGGGCGCTCGGGCCGGCGGCCACCTCCACGCCCGTGTCTGAGCTCGGTGCCTGCTCCTGGCAGGGATCCGCCTGTCTTACCTGAAAACAACCTCCGGAAGCCTCGCCCGACAGAGCCGTGCCTGCTGTCCGAGGAGGCTCAGCAGCCGAGCTCGCGTGTCCGCCCCCCTTTGTCCCGCCCCGCCCACCACAGCTGCTCTGCACACCCGGGTCCTCCGGTTCTGTCCAGGAGGGAGCATGTCTGAGTTCAGGAAAAGGAACTTGAGTTTTGTGTGATTTAGGTTTTCATCTCCGTTACAATTCTCAGCTCCCATTTTGGAAACCAGAGGTTACTGGCAGCTGCATCTGTTCAGACAATAAAGCATTAGACTCAGTTTCTGTTTCTGACATTTTTACATCAGGAGATGGAAATGTATTTTAACCCCAAAAAAAGTCCAAAGTTATAAAACCGATAAAGGAATATAGGCTTATTTTTTTAATGTTATTGATTTTAGAGAGTGTAAGGGAGGGGGAGAGAGAAACATCAGTGATGAGAAACATGGGTTGGCCACCTCCTGCCCTGCCCACACTGGGGATGGAGCCGGCCACCGGGCCTGTGCCCTGACGGAGCCCACTGCTGGGCAGGAGCCAGCTGAGCCCTCGTGGCCACGGGTACAGGGCTGTTCTCAGAGCGCCTTTTAAAAGAGGCCTCGCCGCCAGTGTGGCTCAGTGGTGAGTGTGGACCTGGACCTGAGGGCTGGGGATCGAACCTGCAACCCAGAATGGAAACTGTGACCCTTCAGTTCACAGGCCAGCGCTCTAACCATTGAGCACATGGGCCAGGGCACAAGGAGGAGCCTGCACAAGGGCTGCTCTTAGAGACCTGGGGTTGGAACTGCCTGTCAGCCTCACGGGCTGTCTTCTGGCTTCAGTGTCCGGAGTGAGCTGCTCGTACTTGGGTTTCAGCTCCCAATTCCAGGGGCGGGGTGGGGCGGGGCGCTCTGTCCTCATGAATCCGGGCGTCAGGACCGGGGCCCTGCCACCTCAGCCCCGCAGGGTCGCTGCCGGCAGGCCTGGAGCCCCCACGAGCTGGCAAACCGTTGGCACGGGGACACCTCGTTCGGGAAACGAGGTCGGACGCGTCGAGGAGGAGTTCCCGCCGACGGGAGCACGTCCGGGGTGCGATGGCGGTGGCTTACCCCGAGGGGCGTGGCTCAACGGTAACGGGAGCCGGCGCCCTCCCTGCAGCCCGGCCACGTGGCTCTGCCCGGCGGGGGCTGTCCCTTCGCGGTGATTAGGAATTCACATCAGGTCCGAGGCCTGGTTCGGCGGATGCCCCGTGCAGCCAGCCGCCCGGGGTAACTGTCTCCACAGCAGTCCGCCACGCGCCCACGTCACGTCTCGCCTGCCTGGTCCGATTCGTGGGCGAGGTGTCTGCAGCTGCCTCCTCGCTGGGCTGTGAGCTCGCTCGCTCTCGGCTGACGGCCCTGAGGAGTGAAGCTGCTGGGAGCAGCCTCCTGGGCAGACGGCGATGCCCGAGGGGCCTTCTGGGTGCCCAGCGGTGCGGTCACTTACACACAGAGGCCCTGGAGCCGGTGGCCCTGCCCTGGAGCCCTCCAGGGGGCCACGCCAGGCCCTCCAGCAGAGGCCCTGGAGCCGGTGCCCTGCCCTGGAGCCCTCCAGGGGGCCACGCCAGGCCCTCCAGCAGAGGCCCTGGAGCCGGTGGCCTGCCCTGGAGCCCTCCAGGGGGCCACGCCAGGCCCTGCAGCAGAGGCCCTGAGGACAGGCAGGGCGGCTCCTGCTCCTGTTCTTGCTGCCGGAACCCCCAGTGGGTTTCTTCAGGAGACGGTCCTCGGCCAGACCTGCTGATGGACGTGCTTTCCTGGTCTGTCCGACTCCCTTACGGAGTGGAAAGCAGCGTTTTCCAGGGTAACCGGCTACAGTGCTCCGGACGTTGCTGAGACCGTCTCCGGGACTCGCATCGCGCTGTCTGAAACGCCCCATAAGGAGGCCCCACCTCCCCGCCCGCTCCCACCCGCGTCCCACTCAGACGGGTCCCTCCTGTGAGCAGGGAGCCGCCGTCGCCCGGACTGGCTTCTGGCGCACAGGTTAGGCCTCCTGCGGCTCCGGGCAGGCTCTCGGGTCCGGCGTGTCCGAGGGGGCACCCCTGGCTCCGTTCGTCCCCGTCCTCACAGGCCGGGCTCCCATCGGCTGTGGGAGGGCAGCGGTGAGCACGGGCACCTGTGTCTCCGGACCCCCGCACCTGGGCCATCCCGGAGCGGCTGCTGGGTCCGGACAGCGCTCCAGCCAATGGGCTGTGCTGGCCACGTCTTCCCGGGCCACACGTGGCTTCTCCCCTGCCCCGTGTCCTCGGTGCACAGACCATTCGGGCGGCTGTGTCCCATTTGTCTGTGCGCATCTTCCTGCGCTTGGGAGTCACATCCAGTAAACTGCTGCCAGCCAGGCTGACGGTGAGAGCGCCGAGCGAGGCCCCGGGAGCTACAGCCGAGTAGGAGCAGCCGAGCAGGAGCGGCCGAGCAGGAGCGGCCCCTCCCTACCCCAGCCTTAGGGGGCTGGAGTGAACAGGGGCCAAGTGGTGACCTGGGAGAGGGGGTTTGGGCACAGACACCGGGATCAGTGCCGAGGGGCCTGGGGAGGAGCCCAGCCTGCCCAGCTCAGATCCCAGCCCCCAGGACTGAGGCCCTCTGTGAACAAGCTGCCATCTGCCCTCCTGCTGAGGTGGCCGGAGCAAACCAATACAGACCCCCCCACACTAATACAGACCCCCAACCTAATACAGACCCCCACACTAATACAGACCCCCCAAAACTAATACAGACCCCCCAACCTAATACAGACCCCCAAAACTAATACAGACCCCCCAACCTAACACAGACCCCCCCAACCTAACACAGACCCCCCAACCTAACACAGACCCCCCACACTAATACAGACCCCCAACCTAATACAGACCCCCACACTAATACAGACCCCCCAAAACTAATACAGACCCCCCAACCTAATACAGACCCCCAACCTAATACAGACCCCCAAAACTAATACAGACCCCCCAAACTAATACAGACCCCCAAACTGATACAGACCCTAAAACTAACACAGACCCCCCCAACCTAATACAGACCCCCAAAACTAATACAGACCCCCAAAACTAATAGACCCCCCACATTAATACAGACCCCCAAACTAATACCCCCCAAACTAATACAGACCCTAAAACTAACACAGACCCCCCAACCTAACACAGACCCCCCAACCTAATACAGACCGCACCCCCCCAGGCAGCGTCCAGGTGACTGGGAAGGGACTTACTTATGACCAGGATCACAGTAACTTCAGTAGAACCACATCCGGGCTCTTCCCAAACCGCGGACGGCCTGGGCTGTGCCCGGAGCGGGCAGCTCCAAATCGGTCCTCAGACCCTGCACCGCCCCTCCCTTCCCGCCCTGCCCTGGGGGTCCTTCTGGACCGGGTGCGAGGGGCGGGCTGGGGTCTCTGCCCAGGCCCGACCACCCCATGGAGTGGATCCCAAGGTGGTTAAGGGCACCAGGCTGCTGGGCACCGGGTCCCTGCGACTGATGATGCTACTGTCTGCGGGGCACGAGCCTGCACCCCTGTCCCTGGCCCCAGACAGGGATCCCTGGCGCTCAGGCCTCGCCTCTCCAGCCAGGCCCCGCCCTACCCGCTAGGCCCCGCCCACCCACCAGGCCCCTTCCCCACCAGGCCCCGCCCCTCCCCAATAGGCCCCTTCCCCACCAGGCCCCGCCCCTCCCCAATAGACCCCGCCCCACCCTCTGGCCCGCCCCCAGCTGGTGCCTCCCTACCCACACAGGCCCCGCCCCGCCATCCAGAACCCCCCACCCCAATAGGCCCCGCCCCACCAGGCCCCGCCCGCCCCGATAGGCCCCGCCCCGCCCCGCCCCCAAGCAGGTGCCCCTCCGGTCCCTCCTGCGCCGCCAGGCGGGTGCGCCCGCCCCCAGCAGGCCCCGCCCAGCGAGCCCCTCCACCCCGGCCCTGGGCTCTCCTCCTCAGTCCGTTCCCGCCGCCCCGCAGCCCCGCGTCCCGGGCTCCGCACCCTCTCCTGCGCCCGCACCCTCTCCTGCGCCCGCACCCTCTCCGGCGCCCGCACCCTCTCAGGCTCCCGCACCCTCTCCGGCGCCCGCACCCTCTCCGGCGCCCGCACCCTCTCCTGCGCCCGCACCCTCTCCGGCGCCCGCACCCTCTCCTGCGCCCGCACCCTCTCCGGCGCCCGCACCGTCTCCGGTGCCCGCACCCTCTCCGGCTCCCGCACCCTCTCCGGCGCCCGCACCCTTTCCTGCGCCCGCACCCTCTCCTGCGCCCGCACCCTCTCCTGCGCCCGCACCCTCTCCGGCGCCCGCACCCTCTCAGGCTCCCGCACCCTCTCCGGTGCCCGCACCCTCTCCGGCGCCCGCACCTTCTCCGGCTCCCGCAGCCTCTGCCCCCACCGGTCCGGCCCGCATGGCGCGCGCGGCGGGCCCCGAGCGGCGGCTGCTGGCCATCTACACCGGGGGCACCATCGGGATGCGGAGCCACCACGGCGGTGAGTCCGCGGGCGGCGGGACGGGGCGGTCCCCGCGCCCGCCTTCCCG